GCTTCTTTATGGCAGTCTTTCAAACATTTAAAAATGCTCCCCCCTGCTCCAACCTTAATCTCCTTTCTTTTAAACTAAACATAATTCTCTCAACCTGTCTTTATTCCAACCCCTTTATCATCTTTATCACTTTTCTCATCCTCTTCACATCCTTCCTAAAATGCAGAGCCAGGGATGCACATATTACTTCAGCTGAGGCCTAACCAGTGCTGAGTAGAGTGGTACTATCACCCTCAGTGTCCCTATGCAATACTCCTGTTAATATAGCCCCAAACTGCATTTGCTATCTTTGCTGCCTGTTTCATATTGCTGACTTGGGTTGTCTGTGATCCACCAAAACCTCCAGATCTTTGTCAGAAGTGCTAATGCCTAACGTATTATCTGCCATTTTCGTCTTGTGCAATTAATTTTTTTTTCTGACTTGGGTTACTGCTTCATATTTATCTTTGAATTTAATTTTTGCTTCCATTTATGAATATCCATTTGAGTTCTATTTCTATCCTGCAAAGCAATTTTGAGCTTTGCTAGTTTTGAATCATCTGCAGCATGGGTGACTGGTGCCGCCTTAGTTAGGGGAGCACATGCCCTCCCAGCGACTGGAGGCAGGTGTCCCTTCTCAGCCAGTCCCACCAACCAGGGTGGGAGGGGTCCCCCAGTGGCCAATTGTGAGGCAGACAATTGCTGTGGCCACTTCTGGGAGTGCCACGGCGCTCTGCCCCTGGCTGATGCTTGCAGGGGGGACACTGGCACTCCTGCATCCCCCCACCCCCATCAGTGAGTGCAGCTGGTCAGGAGGTGCACCAGCACTCTCAGGGACCCCCATGCACCCACTATGCATAGCCACTGATCTGCAGACTTGATCAACAAGTTCTTTATTCCTGCCTCCAGGTAACTAATACAAATGTTAGCAGCAAACCTAGAGTAGAACCCTGTGGCACACCACTTGGAACCTCCTGCTATTCTATAATTCATCCATTTTATAGCTACTTTCTACTTGAAGTTATATCAGCCAATTAAGTATCTCTGTAACAATAATTTTATCAACCAACCTATTTCTAGCTTGCTAAAGATAATATTTTGTTGAACTGTGTCAAAAGGTTTATTAAAGTTCAAGTATTTTGTGTCCACCACATTTCCTTCATCCACCAATCCAGTTACTCTATCAAAGAAGGATAGTGAGTTGGTCATGATTTGTTCTTTGCAAATCCATATTGACTGCTATTGATCACTCCTTGCTCCTCCAAATGTTTTAAAATGGATTCTTCTATAGTTTTCTCAAGTAACTTGCCAGATATCACGTTGGTGTCATGATTGGTGTCATGCTGACTGATCTATAATTCTCCAGTTCTTCCTTTTCCCCATTCTACAGATGTGTATGATATGTTAGCTCATCTCCAGACTTTCCCATCTTCCATGATTTTTCCAACATTAATGCTAATGGCTTTGATATTTCTTCAGCTAGTTCCTTTAGCAACATTAATTCTGTAAGACCCTGATGACTCATTAAAATTTTATGAGACTTTCTCTATGCACTTTACTGATCACAATTCTCAGCCTTTCTCTTTTGTCTATATTAAATTTGCTAGCTACTTAGTTGCAAATTTTTTTTGTGAAGAAGGAATACTATTCACCATCTAGCTCTACCTTTTTTATGCTCCAGGGAACTTACTCAACGTGGTAGTAGTACAGGGACATGGCCAGGTTCCTGTGGCATGGGGGAAGCTGTAACTTCCCATTGTCACATTTTTCTCCCCTCCACCCCTCAAGCCCTCTTCCTGCTCCCAAATGAGTGCCTTGAGCAGTTCTCCCATTCTCCCCACTCTAGGTATACCATTGACTCAAGTTATTGGGCAGTGGACCAATAGTTTCCTTATTCTGTCATTTCTTTCAAACTTATTCATGGAGCTCTATGTTGTCTTTAGCATCCCTTACCAACTGGTATCTCATTTTTCACCTTTGTTTTCCTAATTTTGTCCTGCAAGTTTTTTCCTTGGTGAACATCCTTGATGGCTTAAGCTTCCTTCCATGTTGGAAGTTGTTTTACAATTTATTCAGCTTGGCTCCCAGGCTGGTTATGAAATCCCTTTCCAGTAACATGAGCACATACAGTCCTAGTCTCCATGCCTATTGGAATTTAAAAACATTTTTTTTAAAATTACAAGTCACAGTTTTTGTATGGTAACAAATACCATATGAGCTTCCATCCTGCTCAGTGAACAAAATGGATCCAACTGTCCTTTCTGTATGAAACTGACTAAATCGCAAGTGATTCTCTAACATTAGAAATATTATATAGCATTAGGACTTAGGAATTGATATCAAACAAATACATGAGTTTCTGAAAAGCCAGTTTTCTTAGTGGCAAGTGTGGTCATAAGTGTTTGAAAATGCACATTGGGGAGTAGTATTCAAAAGACTTTATTGTGATGAGCAATAGACCAACTAAAATCTCCCTTTGTTGGTAAAAAAAAAAAAAAAAAAAAAAATCTTTCTGTCTTGCAGAAGATCACATCTGCCGCCACAAATCAGAAAAGCTTTTCTGAAATAAGAAGAGAAGACAAAATAAACACAGGAAGTTGCTGTGTTTTCAAGAAAGCTTTAGAAAGAAACTGCATTATGTCACTCAGAAAATGCAAGTAAAATTAGCAGATTGAATGTGTTTATTTTGGTGGCTTTTCACTTCCTATAGTAATTAGAAGGGTTATAACATTACAGATGATAAATTTATAAGATAATTCAATTTGTGGGATAAAAGTCTGCACAAAGAGGTAAAGGACCCCCCCCCCCCCCCCCAAAAAAAAAAAAAAAAAAA